ATTATTATTGGGACAAGATGAATGAAGACATTAAGTTATACGTTATAAAACAAGCAGTTTGCGTGCGAATGGCAAGATAATGCCGATAGAAGCACATGAGGAATGTTGGCATACAATATCGATGGATTGGATTACTGGTGGCGTCATCTTTTACAAGCGATGCACCGTATGTATAGATTGCTTAAGTCCATGTATCAAGGAGGTGCACTTTAAACTTGACAGGAAAAAACTTGGTAGCCGAAGGATCCTTGTCATAGACTGGGTAATTTTCTATGCCGCTTTGAAGCTGGTGAGACTCAAATTCGATTACTTCCTTATGCTTAACGACATCTAATCCAAAAAAGGCTCAGCCTGTGGCAAAGAATGGAGCGTCACAGACGACATAAAATGAACGATCATGGATTGGAAGAACCACCATTGATTTACGCATGAGGCCATCTCGCGCAGCCTTGTTGGCTGCCGTTTTTTATCCATCTCAGCACAATTTGACATCCTGTTCAATAACTTAGTGAGGGGTTGTGCCTGGTCAGGATAGCTTACACAAGTCTGACAGTGATTGACAAAGCCAAGTTACTTCCGCAAGCCCTGAAAAACAAAGGCACTGGCCAATCAACAAATGACTTGACCTATTATAATCATCATGCCGGCCATGATTAAAAAAACAACTCAGAAAAGAATCTCTTCGATGCCAAAACTGCCCTTGTCTTTCTTGGCAAAAATCTTATTGGAGCGTACATAGTTAGGAATTACTCACATCTGTCTGATTTGGTTTACTAGATACAACTACCTGCCTCTGCACGAACATGAACGAATCTATCAAATTAGGCTTGAACATAGCCACGATGTGATCTTAATAATTGCGTCATCAGACAATTAAACGTGGTTGATGCATTAGATAGTTTTTGTGGTATAACTAGCCGCTCTTAGATCATTCTGCTTGAGAATTACTGTAGTTCGTGGGAGATCACTGTATTATATGCACAGCTGCTAACATATATCAACAAATTAACAGCACAAACTGTGGTCGAACCGACCAAGACAATCTGCAGCACGTCGTCTCTAAAACGCCGTTTGTGCCAGAATCGTGGCTGCATTTAGATTTTTACATGCATGCACAATTTGCCAATTGCCATTAGTCTTTCTGGAAGAGAAGATTGGCGTTGAGTCGAACGATGTTCTATCTTTCACCAAATTCGTTTCGTGCCTCACACGAAAGGAAGCGCCTGTGTGTCGCACTGATCCAATGGCAAGGATTATTGATGAGTGACACAATACTTCCAAGTCAATCTCATGACGCTCTCACATTCGAAAGCAGCATACGTGTTGATACAGCTGCTGCCATGTCGTGAGATCCTTCATAGGAGTAAAGGATCCATAGGAACCTTGAGATTAGCTATCGCACTCATCGCACTCAGCGCCCCGCGAGAGTCTGCAATGACAGATCTTTCCATTACATATGACGAATCTTTTCCTACTTGGTACCAACCGTACTATTTCGGTTCTCATAATCCCAAGGGGGCATTCGCCGAACACGATAATAGCTTTTTGCCGGAGTTAATTAGGGATAATGCATAATTAGCCCTGTCACATCGTTTACGCCACAAGAAACTCTCGCTTCTTACCCATGAAGCTTCGTAGCTTCGGACTGTGGGTCTGCCACATGGTAGTGCTGACTCAGCAGTACCGTTACATCATGACAAGAATGAGCCAGTCTTCTTATCCTTAGGTCCCAGCCCTTCTACTCGTGGCATACACTTTTCGTTCAGCTCCATCGACTCAAAACAGGAGATTGCGACATCCAGTCGCTTTCACTTTCTAGCGGCCCTGGTGCAGGAAATAACAGCTCACAGCTTTCTCTTATTGACTCGCACAGATATACACTTTAGGGACCGCAACATACCATCGTTTATCCGCGTCTCAACAGAGGTATATTCTGGAAACCGCAATTTAATATCGCCCATCACCATCTCATTCTGATCTCGGACTACTGCCGCTTCTGCCTTTCAAGCTCTGTTTAATGCGCCAGAAAATACCCTTGCTATAAACTTCGGATAATACCATATCTTGCGCGGAAGCTATCACAGTGCTGTGTCCGCGCCAAAAGTGCTTCTGTCAACTTGTAGTAGGTTTATGACTTGCAAATGCTCTGCCAGGAGAGAAGTGTTTGGCACCCTTCCTTTTTTACTTTTAGTCGACACATAGCTCGTTGCGTTCCATCCACGCCCTGTCCAAAGTGAGACCGTATTCAAAATCTATCCTTATTCAGCTAATTTTAATAAAATCAGATTAGATTTGGCCACTTTATACGCAGTCAAAGTCCTCAAACTTCACTTAAAGGTTTAACATTACATTCAACGATTATACCAACGACAGGTCGCAAGATGCGCAAGTACTGTAATAGCAATTAGAATTTTAAACGCATTCGTAGACCGATTACTATCTTAATGACTGCTGCGCGCCGTTTGTAATGATTGCGCGATGCTTTTGAATCTACCACGACTTCCTGCAGCTTCACAAAGCTCAGAATTGGAATATTAACAACCAACAACCTTGGATTGTGAGCCTCATCATTTTAGGAAGAGTCAACTATTCGAAGTTTCGGTCTCTTGGTTAATGCGACCTTCCGTGACGTACATCAAAATCCATTTTTTAGGCAGCCCTGCACCTACTGGGACTTGACAAATTTTCGGGATTTTTTGCTTGCGTGGGGGCAGACTCTTGGTACGTCTGAATCGAGAGCAAAGGAGGCACGCAAAGCGCAGATGTTTAACACTACTGTGGATGGAACGTATGCGGTTACCGTGGAGTTGATGACTCTCACTTTCCCTTAGTATGGCCGAGATCAATTGCCTCTGGCGCGCTCATTAAACTCTAATTCCCAGCACCCACCTTGCCATCGCGACTCTGAAAGTGTGCTCCCCATCAAATGCGACGCTTACCGCTTCCTTTAAGAAGGTAGTTTGGGCGCAGAAGGTCTCGGTGCCGGACAGAACTGCTCGGAGTCCATTCCATGAAACTAATTACCGTTACCGCTGATGGAAAAGGGTTAGGTTTTTCCGGTGAGATTTATTAATCCTGCTGTTTCTCGCCTCCCTTGACGATTAGATATAACTGTCGTCCGTATTCGGTACTGAAACCCGCGACATAGGTCGCTCCGAATCGTCTTACGCTAGAAAATGCCTCATTCATCGAGTGATTGAACGTAGGTACCCATCCTCGCGCGCGCTCCCAGCTTGCGGATCACAGGCGCGATGAGCTGTCGCTTCGTTTGGAGCAAGGCCAAATTCATAACTTCCCTCATCGCGAGGAAGAAACTTTCTCCGTCCTGGACCTTAGACATGGCAGGATGCGTATAAATCAGAATTTATGACGCGATTCATGTGTTACAATACCGGCGCCCGGTCGATGCGTTCCTGTACGCGCCTCGGAAGAGTACTTTTAAAGCTGGTGGGCGCCTTCAAGCGAGCAATTAATGCCTCAGGCCCTTTGGCCGCCAATTTCCTGATCCTATCGAGCCCGAGATAAACAAAAGCTTGTAAGCTGGTCAATTGGTCCTGGGGACAGGTATTCGAACACATCATGTTTCATCCTCGCAACGGATACAGTCTTTCCACAACTAGGTCGTTGGATTGACTACAAGTGCTAGTAAGCGCAAAGGGGTTGTCGTGGAATTTGTACAGATGAAGCTTTGCCTCCAGAGTCCGCACGAACAAATTTAAAACCGAGAGCCTTCAAGGCAAGTAATACTGTCAGAACGCTTTGCTATTTCAAAATTACTTACCATAGATATCGTAACACTGTATGTATCGTCTGAAGTGTTTACGTACTATCCCGGTATACTGTACTCATCTTGTAAAATCGCTAAACAAGGAACTCTCTGTCCTGGAACAACTATAATACTGAGTCTCGCTCGGTATACATTTGTCTAAGCTACACACGTACTTGAAGCAAAATACGATGTACAATACTCAAAGGTCTGGAAGATACTTCTTATATGTCTACCAGATTACTCCACATTTCTATCCAGTTCACAGCGCTTAACGAAGGTAAGCAGCACACGTCAGCATCAACAATTGGGCTAATTATATTACGGCTACTTACATCATAGGCTGGTGGCGAGAACCTAACAATCCTAAGAGCTGCTTCAACTTGGAGAATTGAAGGATGATTTTCGCCAATGGAAACAGCTGAGCCTACGATAGAGAACAAGATAAATCGAGCTTATTTAAGCAATTACCTTCTGAGCATCTAACTATCTCTCCACTACCATGAGTCAGCTCGATCGTGCTGTGTATGACCAATACATGAACCTTGAAATCTCCGCCAATGTCACGCTAGCTGAGTATGTCTGGATCGGTGGTTCTGGTCAGGATCTGCGCTGTAAGACCAAGA